GATAATTGATGGCATCAGGCCACCCAGGCGTCTTGCCGCTCGGAATGCTGAATATATTCGGAGAGTAGTTGACCAGTGATTCGACTGGTCAAGGGGGGAGTGTGTCAAGGAGTTTTGTGTTACATTTCGCGCGCGACATTTTTTGATCTCAGATGTAGCCAATCACGTTTGGAACACGTGATCATGTGACACTTTGAATGGAGTAGTTTTTTGATTTAGAGAATTGTAATTTTGTCGATGGCACGTGTATCTGTTAAGAAGCCCGTTACTTTGTGGAACCCTGTTCGTTTTTGGCAAGTGTATCGGAATAGAAGCCCGTTACTGTTAGAGATCTATTGGTTTCGAATAAAATCTATCACAGACACCACTAGGAGATTTTGGAAATTTCTCGGTTGGCGGCAATTTTTACCGTCTGACCCCGACACTCTGTAACTTTTCACCGGCACAAGTCTGTTTTCCCCTATGGTCTGGATATCGGCGTTCTGTGCGACCAGTTGGATTACCCCAGTCCTTCCCTAGGTTCGCACGATGTATTGGACATACAAACATTTTTTCACCTTGTTGGGCAGTTTTACCAAAATACCCAGCCCGCTGCAAAGTAAGTTCGCTCTCTGTAATATTTTCTTTCGTTAAGTGACATCGCCTCGAATGAGCCGTAATAACGCACACCTGTTACATTGACTAAGAGGCACCAACTTGCTTGCTCCAAATCTGCTTTCATTGCGTGACAACAGTCCTAATTAGCATATGACCATGAAAGTTCATGAAGAAACCCAAAAGGAAATTGAGCTGAATTCAGTCTTTATTAAAGAGCTTTTTAGTTGCTGAGACTCCAAACTCAAAAAGGGCTTCGTTTGAGCAGAAGTGAAATGTATTCTTTACAATTTTGAAAATTGCTGAAATCGACAACCCGCCGTAAAGGAGCTTTTAAATTTACACAATATACGAGTAGGTGTGGAATTCCTACATGTATTTTATGACATTTTATACCGGTTTACAGGCCTAAGATGGCTTATAAAACAACAAATGTGCGTTATTTTGACGAAGCATACCAAGATTCTGCCCCGTGGGAAAAATATCAGCCTTATCATATGAGTTTAAGTATAGGCGCAAACTTGCAAATTTAGGTAAATATTGACAAAAGGAGCTCTCAAAAACGCTTGTTCGCGTCCGACGCAGAATGATACCCGCACCTTTGACTTTATTTTCTAACAGAATAAGGTAAGGTCTTTGCTGTGAAGTGCATTTTGCGTGTGATTTTTGTACCGCTTTGGAGATTTTAGCTTTTACTTTGGAGGAATCTGTCAAGGGAGCAAAAAAACCGCAAAGTGGCTCGTTTTTGATCTTATTAATTTTATTTTATTTTGCCTCAAATTATCCAAGATTCCGCCATAGGACAAGTCAAATGCACCTAAATCCATTGTACTATGTAGAATTTCGCGATAATTATCCGTTAAGAGAAAGCGCGGCTTTTAAAATTACTGAATTTTGGCCATTGAATAAAGTTGAAAAAGCGCTCTCAGACAGGAAAGACGTTTTGTGCTGTAGCGAAGCACAGAGAAAGATTTTGAAAAAAAAAAAGCTCGATTTTAATCATTCCTCATTAAGTCCTTTTCACCCACAAAAAATAAAGGGAAGGTTTACTGGCGATCCTAAACTCGCCGTACCGCTCTTAGGTGGACAGCCACTTAAATGTCGCTTTGTTGGCCATATGTTCTTCAAATGCGACGAAATGAGTTAAAGTACGGCTTTTACCGTCAAAACCCTAAGTATTTTCGCCGAATATAGTTATGAATTGTTAATAAATACAGCTCTACCGGCTTCAAACAGCGTCTATCTGTATCGGCAGAACTTCCTAGGCAGAAACGTTAAAGACAATTAACTTAACCTACACAATTAACACGTATCGTGGCGCAGTAGGTAAGGCGATGACCTTAAGCCACACAGGACGAGACCACAACAGTTACAGTAAATTATCTCAATTAACTGACACGTGAATCACGCCATACACGGGACGTACTTAACTTGCCTCAAAAGTTTGCAAGGGTCGATAAAACGGGAAACCTTTATAGATTTTGTTGCAAAACAGTAGAACTACTCGTTAATCAATTCTTTGCAACCTGCAAAAACCTCATTTTTTACAAGACAGGTCTTATCCGTGGGTGGTAAGACGTGCAACACCGTTATTGAACTCATTTTGCAGCAATTAATGCTGCAAATTAAGTTGCACATTTTTCGTTCCCCGCTTTACCGTATCTTTACACATCTAATCTGTGTAAATCAGATAAAAATACCACGATACACGAGTCGACTTTGAAACTTTGCCGTTTACAGCGAATTGTCAAAGTTTATCCGTTTAAAGATAGTTTTAACTTTTTTCTCTTGAATGTTGGTAGTTATTGCCCATCTACTATCGTAGAATTATTCACGAATTTAAGTTATTAATACCACTTTCTTTCTGTAGAATTTTGTGGAACAACAAGATCAATAAGCTTCCGCCTGGGATATTTTCAAATCTGTCATCGCTAATCTACTTGTAAGTAAATCGTACATTTCCTTGTCTAGAGTATTATTTTATATGAATCTCTTAAAAGGATCTGAAGACCTTTCATGGTACGTGGGGCATTGGGAAGACGAGAGAGGACTGATTTTCGTCAGTGTGCCTTTGTGTTTACCCTGTTTTTTTCTACGCATCTTTGCATCCTTGATGGCCTAAAACTGCGATTTCACACACCCAGACGCCCAAGGTCAGAGAATAGCCAATACGTAAAGGGTCCTCTCTAACACAAGATGAAGCGGTGAAGATTGCTTGATTACTCAAAATATCTCAAGCACGAATGTCTTCTATGGGGGGCAGTAGCACTAACGACTGTGAGGAAGCCGTTCAAGTAGTTCAAAACCAAAATACGAGAAAATGACCACAGCGCAACCAACCATTAAATTATCAATCTTCTGTAGGAGCACGGATGAGCAGAAACTGCAGCCGCGCTCGTAGTTCACCTTCTAACTGCCCAGCAGGTGATCAAGTATGTCTGTCCCGCAAGAAGTCAAACCACTTTGCAGACGCCTGCAGGCAACGATTTCATTCTGTAGGATGAGCCAGAAGTCGAACCTCACCTTGGTGATGAAGCATTTGTATCAGCTTGTTTAAGCCTGCAACAGGACACTCATAAGAACATCCTCAAGCTGGACACCAGTGCCCAGGGAAACACATTCCCATTTAGGTTCTATCGTGGAATGTGCCCGCAGAACCTAGCACGTAGGGGCCAAACCACTCCCAAAATGTTTTGGAGGGGTTGGCCCCTACGTGTAGATGATCATGATCTCAAACCTGGTTCCTTATTATACTCGGATATTACCCTCACTGTCCACGCTGGCTCACAGATCACACATACCATTGCTATAACTTGTTCCTACAAAAGGAAAAGCACTAGAGTATCCTTCTATGTCACAGAAATTCCCGGCCCAGCCATCATAGGTCTCCAGTCTTCCACTGACTTGAAACTATTGATATGCAACTTTACTATTCACGAAAACGAGACCCACCCTGCACCAATACAGCTTGCAAAAAGTAACCCATGAAAAAAAAAAGCACGTGAACAGTCAGTATCTCGAATACTTCAACGCAGTGGAAAGGTTCCAAGGCGAATACCACATAGTCCTTGAACCAAGTTTACCCCCAATTGTCGATCCCACAAGGCGTGTGATAATCAGCCTCAAAGACAACATCAATAAGGAACTACACAAGAAATGTCATTATAGCGAAGATCGAAAAAAGTGAATTGACACAATGGTTCAACAGCTTTTTTTACTGCCGCAAACAGAACGGAAGATTGAGCTTCCACCTGAACGCCAAAGACCTCAATGCAGCTATTCAGATTGAACATCATGTCACTCTCACCCTAGAAGAGATCCTAGCATACCTGAAGGATGCTAAAGTATTTTCTATAAGGAAGGAAAAATGCGGATACCAAAACGTGGTCCCGGGAAAAGAGTCTATTAACCTCACTACATTTGAGAGATACAGGTTCAGACGCATGCCCTCTAGCTTCAAAATGTCTCAAGAGATCTTCCAGACTAAGATGGACCAAAATTTTTTTTCCTGATTACACATACAGCAAAACAGTTAAATTCCTCTTCCGGAACAGGCCCCCAATGTTACGAGTTCGAATGTTTTAAGGATAATTATTCTTCAGCACAAAGGGATGTCGGATTAACACAAGGAAGTTTAATACCAAAGGAACATAGTCTTTACTGATCTTGGACTTGAACTTAAGTAAAACCAAACAGCCTATACCAATAATAATAATAATAAACTCTCACTTGGAAGTCAGAAATCTTACGGCCTCTGGCAACTTGTAACCACAGAACTTGAAAATCGAGCTTCGTCACAATTGACTAAACATAGCACTCCAGCTCGTGGGGAAAAAAGAACTTAGTTCGTCAAAACAACTCGTGTGGAACTTGTATACTGTTTCACAAAAGATTCAAGAAAATACTAAACAGGCGGAAAATGTAAACATGCCCTAATTAATTATACATGAATGATCCAAAAACGTAGAGAACGGTCGAGGAAGTAAGGCAACGCCTGACGGCAATTTTACTACGTCACAATCGACAGAAATGCAAGCATGCACCTCACCCAAGGGCCTTCACCGTTTTTTCAAGATGGTGTTTCATGAATTTCATGAAGTAGTTTTTGGAGTCCTCCCAAGAGTCCTTGTGTGATTAAAGTAGAGAAAGCATGGCTTAGTTTCATTCAAGTTGTCTCAGTCAATTTCTCAGTTAAAGGCCGAATAACATGGTGTCAGAAGTTAAAATCGTAGTTACAAGAATTCTAAAGCAGTAGAAGAAGAAGGAGCACGTTTCAGAGAAGCTGTCCTTGCTGTTCTGGTATTATTTTCTCGTTCGCGAGTCGTGCACATGGTGAGACGTCGCCATATTGTTTAGCTGAAAGAAACCAGAAAGCACCAGAACTGTGAGTATTCGTTTTCTTCAACATGCCATTTTATCAAATACCACCGCCAGCGCCCATGAACGTAAAGGATGGTGTATCAACAAATTGGAAACTGTTTAAAGAAGCTTGGTGTTATTATTATGTCACTGCCACTGAACTTAACAAGAAATCTAAAGAAGGACAGGCTGGGGCTTTATGCAGTGTTATGGGAATGGACTGTGTGAAAGTAATGAATAGCCTCACTACTCTAACTGCATCTGACAAGAGAGACCCAGAGAAGATTCTTTCTGCCTTAAGCGACCATTTTATGCCTCAAAAACATTTGTTGTTTGAAAGAGTAAAATTTAGTTTTGCCAATCAAGCTGAAAATGAAAGCATTGATCAGTATGTAGTGAGATTGCGCCAGCTTGTTGGGTCATGTGAATTTGAGAATCTTTGTAAGAGCTTAATTTCTGACCGATTGGTCATTGGCACTCGAGACTCTTCCACTAGTGACCGCCTACTTCGAGAACGCCTTGTGCGAGGGTTAGCCAGGTGTATTAAAGCTCTTCGAGCCAGCGAGTTATCCAGGATTCACAAAGAGCAGTATAAAGACACTGTTGATTCTCCATACGCTGTTCATGCAGCAGAAAAGCATCATTTAGCAACTCAGAAAAGGAAAGGAAATAGTGGTAGTAGCAAGGGAAACTTGAAAGGTCGTGACAAGACTGGAAAAGAAAAACCATCAGGTCTATGCAAGTTTTGTGGCACCGAACAACCATGAAATAGAGCAAAAAGTCTTGCGTCTGGTAAAACCTGACATAAATGTGGTAAGCAAGGCCCCTTTGCTGTGAAGTGCCATGTAAAGAGGCAGTCCCCAAGTAAATCAGACAAGAAAGTTCGACAAGATAGTGACAAAAGAAAGTTCATCAGGATAGTGATGAATCAGACGATTCTATTTCTATTTTAGAGCGCGTTGGAGTTGTTAGTAGTAATGAAACCAGATCCTCCTTTATGGTACCTTTCACCTTTCACACAGAGTACAGCGCTACAGTTACAACTCAGCTGGATACTGGGGCGCCGTGCAGTGCAATGTCCTATACAGATTTGTTGAATGTTTTGCAACTTGGCGAAGTTCAGCTGGATCCACCTGGAGGCACGATAAGGCTTTATGATGGTAGTGTTGTCAATCCTTTTGGTTCGTTTCAGTCTGCCGAAACAGTGGCCCTTAATGCAAGATAAAATTTGACATCCTAGAGAATGCACCGTAGCCAATCATGGATGGTAGAACGTGTATTGACCAAGGTTGGATATCCCTAGGAACAGAGGCGTCTGTTTACTCATTAAATAGCAAGCATTATGAACCCCTCACTATGGAGGAACTTTTGAAGGAATATGAAGATGTGTTCACAGGAGTTAGTTCCCTGCCCGGAGAATATCACATTGAAGTAGATCCAGCCATTAAGCCGGTGTAACATGCTCCTCAACGTGTACCAGTACCACTCAAATCAAAGTTGAGAGAAAAGATTGATGAAATGGAAAGGCAAGGCATCATTGGCAAGGAAACTAAGCCAACAAAATGGATCAGTAGTCTTGTAGCTGTGAAGAAGCCATGGAAACTGAGGATGTGCATTGATCCGCGTGATTTGAATAGAGCCATAAAGAGGCCAAAGTATCAGATGCCGACAGTGGACGAGGTGCTACCAAAGCTGTCAAGAGAAAAAGTTTTTAAAGTATTAGATGCCAAAGATGGTTTTCATAAAGTTAAGCTTGACAATGAAAGTTCATTCCTTACAACGTTCTGGACTCCTTTTGGGAGACATCGCTACCTTCGCATGCCACAAGGAATAGGCAGCGGCGCAAAAGAATATCAACGGCGCCAGAATGAAGCGCTCGCAGGCCTCGATGGATTAGAAGTAATTGCAGATGACATCTTATGTTATGGCAGCGGAGAATCTATGGAAGAAGTTTTGGCAGATCACGATTGCAATTTAGTGAACTTACTAAAGCGTGCACGCAGTGTTAATCTGAAATTTAACAAGAACAAGTTGAGGTTGAAGTTAGACCAAGTAACTTACATGGTACAGTTGTTCACGTCAGAAGGACTAAAGCCTGATCCCATAAAAATCGAAGCAACTGCAAGAATGCCTCGACCTGATGATAAGAGAGCAGTCCAACGTCTTCTGGGATGTGTTAATTATTTGTCCAGGTTCATGCCACAGCTCACAAAAGTGTCTGAACCACTACGCAAGTTAACTGAGGAGAATGTCATGTTCACTTGGGACAGCTCACAGGAGGAAGCTTTCCAAGCAATCAAAAGCATGATCAGCTCTGCACCCCTGTTGAAGTATTATGATGTGGCCAATGAAACCACTATCCAATGTGACGCCTCAAATTCCGGTTTGGGAGCAACTTTACTCCAAGAAGGACAGCCGGTTGCATTTGCATCACGGTCGTTGAGCACTGTTGAACGCCAGTATGCTCAGATAGAAAAGGAATACTTGGCGATTGGTTTTGCTTGCAGTCGTTTTAATCAGTAGCTACACGAAAGAGAACTTACAACTGTAGAAACAGACCATAAGCCATTGGTGCCAATTTTCCAGAAGTCTATTCATTCAGCGACTAAAAGGCTACAGAGAATGCTCCTGCGTCTGCAAAGGTACAATCTAAATGTGACGTATCTTCCTTGTTCTCAAATGTACATTGCGGACATGCTTAGCAGAGGTTACCTCCAAGTTGACCGCACCCAGTGTAAGCGAACACCAGAGTACCAAATCTTCCAACTCAAGCAAGAATAGCAGCTTTTTGAAGAAATTGCCAGCATCAATCAAGTTGATTACATGCGCTTATCTGAGCGTACCCATCAGGAGATTAAGCAATGCACTCTTGCAGACCCCACTTTGCAGACTCTAAAGAACACTGCTTCGACAGGATGGCCAGTCTCAAAAGAAGATATTCCACCTTGCATTCGAGAACATTGGAATTACAAAGAAGAGTTAACAGTGCAAGGCGGAGTATTGTACAAAGGAATAAGGTCATTGTTCCCATTTCTATGAGACCTCAAATGATTGCCAGAGTCCATTCCAGTCATTTAGGACCTGATGCCTGTGTATGTCGAGCACGTGATGTTTTATTTTGGCCAAGTATGGCAGGCCAAATCAAAGAACAAGTTCAAAACTGTGAAGTTTGCAATGACTTTCTAGCCAGACAGTAGAAGGAACCGTTAATGACACATAAGATTCCAGATACCCCATGGTTGGTCAGGATCTCTTCCCTTATTGAAGTGAGACCTTCCTTGTGACTGTTGTCTATTACAGTGATTACTTTGAACTAGATTTGTCGCAGATGCAACTACAGAGTCTGTGATCAGGGCAACAAAGTCACACTTTGCCCGGCATGGTATTGCAGACATGATTACTGACAATGGTCCCCAATATTCAAGCGATCAGTTCGCCCCTTTCACACGGGAATGGGAATTTCAGCACACTACCAGTTCGCTACTCCACAGTCAGAGCAATGGTAAAGCAGATTCAGCCGTTAAGATCGCCAAATATCTGGTTAAGAAGGCTAAGCGAGAAAACAAAGATCTTGAAATGGCCCTGTTGGAACGGCGAAACACACCCGACATTAACAATTTAAGAGTGGCTGTCTGTAAGGATCGAGAATCGGCGGTCAGCGACCCATTTGGCGAATCCCTGATATTTTGCCCAAAGTTAGCCTTGGGTAGACTGTTTTCAAAATTCATATTCAAAAGTTCCAACCATTTTGTTTATTTGGGAAATTTGAGAAAAATTAAAAGTGCGGTTAAAATGCGGTCAAAGTGTGGTTTTTTGATCCTAGTCAAGGACATCAGCAGCCCATCATCACCGATAGTAGCTCCACCAAGCAGAGCTCACCTTTGCCAAAGCCAGCAGATGTCCACCCTGAACCTACAGCGAAAGAAGAAAGAAAATCGCAGCAACCTCAGACTCTCGTTACAAGAAGTGGCAGAATCAGCGCTCGCCCATCAAGATTCGCAGACTACGTTTAATAGTCAATTTATGAACTGAACGTTGACATTAACTTTAGTTATTTGTTGAAGTTTAGTTTTAATTCCTAGGATCAAGTCAACATATAGCAGAAAGACATTTAAGTGCATGTTGTAGGCCAGATAATTTCCAAATTCAAGTCGCTGATTTTAGAAAGATCGTTTATTACTGTAAAAGGGGAGTTGTTACATGAAGTAGTTTTTTGAGTCTTCCCAGGAGTCCTTGTGTGATTAAAGTAGAGGAAGCATGGCTTCGTTTGATTCAAGTTGTCTCAGTCAATTCCTCAGTTAAAGGCCGAATAACAGATGGGATCTATACCTTACAATCAAAGTCCACACAGCCTGATCCTCCCTCTTTCTCTGCATTAATTTCTAACTCGGGTGCGGAAAATAAACTTAAAAGATCGGAGCAATTACCTAGACTTGGGCTATACTATTTGTTGACAAATGATTAAATAAATATGTTTGGCAAATTAAATACTAACAAAGTAACAATAATTGTACCAGCACAGTTCTAGTGAAGTAAGTAAAAATTTTTAAGTTATGAGCCAGGCCTTTTTGATAAAACAGTCGCTTTTTCACTTACATTTGTCACAGTTATGTTTGCACCTGTACCAATATAACGCACAAATCAAAGAGACGGCTATCCATATCAATTAATTCAATTTTCAGGGCCGTTCAATTTTTAAGACGAAAACTTTGTTGGTTTGTCTTGATCTTTCATCGCCATCCTATCAAGAAATGCTTTATTCTACCAACCTGATTTTGCCCATCAAACTTAAAACAATAGTTCTTTTGTTCCAGGTGACATCTTTCCAGACCGACCCGAAGCTTGTTTGAATAATCGGAAACCTTTGGCTTGACAAACTTGTGTACCACGGGAGGTGGGCAGTGTTAATTGATCTGTGAAGAATGAAATTTCTCTAGGGTACTGACGGAAATAGTCAAAAGAGGTATAGAGAGCTATTCTTCTAGTAGAAGCATTTTCATATAGAGTAAAGACGTCTACAAACTGTTAATCTTTAAGGCAGTGAACTAAAAACTTGATTTTTTAGTTCGATCATTACTTTTACTTTTTTTCCTTAACCTGCCGCGTGCGGAGACTTCTCCCGATACTTCTATTACTAGTCTAGGAGCAATGGTATTTCCGTGGGATTTTCGTGATGATTTCAAGCGACAAGTGCAGAACTGTTGAGGGGGACCCAAGGAACATGTTTAATGTTGTCGGCGCTTTTGTATTGCGTACAGACGATTTTTAGAAGGCGTTAAAAGAAGAGCACCGTTCTGCCCTGCATGAAAACGAGGCTGAACAATAAAACGACAGGAAAATGGCCATTTATTGGAATTTTGGAACAAACTACAATCAGTCTCTATATTCTGGGATATCTTACTTGATAAGTAATTGCTGTTGACACTTTTGCGAGGTCACGTGACCCGAAGTAGAGACTTAATACAGTGCTACCCTAGAAGAGTACTAACATTGATACCTTTTCACACTGACAAATTCAAAGCCACATTTTTTTGCCTGACCCGTGCGACAAAATAATTTATACCCGCGATTGGCAAAGTTTCAATCACAGCAAGTGATGCAAGAAATCTAGACAGAACTTTAAAATAGATACCGTCCAAAGGAAACCAACTAATACATCAGTGAATTGGTAAGTGTTTTAAAAAACTCGCAAACTTTGAAATACGCTACTGTTACGATACCTGCGAAAGGTCCAGCGTATTCACCGGTAAGATTCTCGCGTAAAGTCCGAAGGAAATCCCGTAAATTTTGTGCTGAGATTGGAACTTTTCATCTCGAGCAAAGCCTTGGCGAACGGCCCAGTGAAACATGGCGAGCAACTGCCATTCATGGATCATTCTGTGTAAGATTACACGAAACGACCCATATGCCTGCTGGCTTGTGATTGGGCAGAAAAACACAAAAGTTTTCTGGCACCAATCAGAAGCCAGAACGGCGGCGATCGTTTGGAACTGGTCTGGTAAGACATTGTCCCCAGAGGCTCTTCCCGCCGTTCTTTACTTTTCTTCGAGCCATATTTTTCCGCCCGTTTAGACTTTCTCTTGCCCCCACTATCTGCCCCTGAGTCTCCGAGAATGTTCCACTATATATCTCGTTTACCGTCTTTACACTTTTGACTTTAGTCACACGCGCGGCTTTTAAGGTGAGACTTTGCATGTAAGTCAAAAGCAAACTCTCTTGTAAATCATGTTGACAGTTCGATGCCTGAACACAAATGACATCTTTTTCGCAAATAGTCAGGTTATATAGAGTGTCAGAAAGGCCAAACACAGGCCAGAAAGGCCATAACCAGGCCTTTAAGGCCAAAACCAGGCTAAAAGGGACAAAAGGAGACAAACGGGCCCTTTTTAGTTATGTGTCTTTGTTTTGTCTTTTTTCTCATACACATGCGTGGGTGTCTCCCGTCGTTGGTCACGCAAAAGCTCTCAATATTGGAATCATCATCATCTTTTTTAAGTGTAATCACCAATTACAGTGCCTAATTAAAAAGTTTAGATCATGAATTAGTAATTGGTGTTTTAAATTTCAGATTTGTTATTTATTGTACCAGTTTACTATTATTGTTATTAATGATCAAGTAGCAAAAACCAGCCAATAAGAGGAATGCACAGAACAATATGAAAGCTGGGAAGAACGCTATAAAAGTCTTAAACAACAACAATGAGGGTCTTGGTAAATAAGCTTAACCTTGTCCCAAAGCGTATTATGCCCGGTGTTACTACCGCGTTTAGAATTGGCTGAGGTTTGACTTCGTGATAGTTGTATGTCCCTGTGAAGCTCCTTATGGTAGTACGATAATATTGAGTAAACACACTAGAAAGTAACAGCAACATTGATGTCTACATAATATGAGTCACGCTAGAAGCACTATTCCTGAATCTCCAGTGTACCACTAAGTGTTGCCAAAACGCCACAATGTACAGGAAAATATTTATTTTCTTAAATCAAATGCTTCTTAACATGTTCACGCGCGTTGTATTGACATTAATTGCATGCATCAGCGGCTTGCTACATTCATTACCTGGAAAAAAAGAAACAACAACAACAAAAAAAAGACACACGCGTGACCTATAGTACCTGCGCATACCAATTCAATAAATTTGTTCCAATTCATTATAACACACGCGTTGCATTGTGAACAGGCTCAACGAAATGGCTGCCGTGGGTAAAATAAAATGCATGTTCACTTTTCCTTTGGGCACGATACAAGGCGAAACGACATTGGTTACAGAACATTATACAACTTAACTGGTAACTGAGTGTTGTAACGCTTATTAATTGATGGTTGAGGACTAGGTAAAAACATTTAATGATTCCTTTAATATAATGCACATGAAGTTGATTTATTCTCCTGCAGGAATTTGAAAGACAACGACATCAGGGAGCTCCCGTCAGGGATATTTTCAAATCTCCTTTCCTTGCAAGCACTGTAAGTGAACGAAGCACCATTTCTTTGTTTATTATTTTATGTGACTGATCTGGAAGGATCCGACGACCTCTTTTGGCACCTGCGGGTTGAGATGGAGTGGTGGGGAGGGTGGTCAACAGTCGATTTATTATCTATGATTTGACCTCGTTTTTCAGCTTTCTTTTTCTTTCAAGTCTTAAAAACCTGACAGCTCCTCTTCCGCGTCCTCGGCGGAGGCTGCTAAGGTTGCAACCATATGACCCGACCATTCGTTACCGACCAGGCAGAGAAATTGAAGTAGTTTATGCCCAGTCAGCATTATCAGCAGAGAGTCATGAACCCATCCCCGAAATGAATGTCCAAACTCACGTGGTCTTCCCTCAGCTTGTTATAAAATGTTGCAAAAGATCAAAGAACAGAGCAATTTGGAAGCGAAACTCGGTGCGTTAAAAGAAATGATCAGCGAAGGTTGGCTTATCCACATCCAACTGCACCCAACACTCTTAAAGCCAAACTGGCCCTTCAGACACCAGATAGCAAGCGAAAACGGAATATTCACTAAAGCCTACCATACCGGATTACCACTCCTACGACTCTGCAGAAATACATTTTCGCCAAACCCCACAGACCACACAAAGTAACAAGGAGAGTCAAGCTAAGAGCCAGAACCTCTACTGGAGACGGCCGGCTTGTACCATGACATAGAAGATACCACAAAAGCATGCAGTAGCTGTGAGGAACTCCAGTACAGTCAACGAAAGGAACTCCTAATCCCCACAGAGATACCCCCAGGGCATGGCATACCATTGGAGCTGATCTTTTCACTCTCGATACAAATCTTCGCCCATATGCTCTAACGACCAGAACTGGTAGAGAGAGCTGAGACGCATCAGAGCCCACATACGAGAGGCCCATCAGGACATGAAAGTAGTTGAACCCAACCGGAATGAGCAGTTGTTGTCTCAAAGCTCCCCTAGTTTGAATTCACCCTCCAGTTCAATGTTTTTGAGGAATCAATCCTCAACATCGCCAAAATGAGAAATTAAGAAGGTAAAAAGTTGAAAATAATTAAAAATAGCTGTTTGGTACAAAAGAATCGATATTAAAAATTTTCCTTAAAAAGTGCCTTAAAAAGTCCTTGTAACAGTTGAAATTAATTTTTAAGAATATATGTTTTGTAAGTTCCTTACATATGCCATGCCCTAACATTGTGGTCTAGACAGTTCCATGGACAAGTCGCACTCGCTTGGAATGTTCGAAGACTAGCGTTTGACCGACATTTCGGTCCCCCCCCCCCTCTGAGTTTTCTTTTAAAAATTTTCCTAGACGATAAAACATCAGAACCTGACGTTTTTAGTAGCTGTTCCTTCATCCCTCGTGCACATGTTGAGACAAGTTTAGTGATGGTCAGTTACTATGGCTACGAGATATGACATCATAAGTAACAGGTGTTTAAGCCATGTTTTGAGTGAAAATGCAAAGTGCTTATTTATGTGTTATTTTACATGTCAAGCACAAAAAATAGTATTTAACGCGGTTTTAACCTGATTTCCACTTCTTTTCATTTTCTCACTGCCGCTTTGAATTTCCATGTTTTTCTTCCCACGAAATTCGTCAGCTTTGTTTGTTTTCGCTTTTTCTCTGTTATCCACGTTAGCGTAAACATAAAAAATAACGCCGAAAAAGACAAGTAAATTAAGTTAAAAAATTGTAAGTCTAATATGCAACAGGACACTCATAAGAACATCCTTAAGCTGGACACCGATGCACAGGGAAACAGATTCCCATTGAGGTTCTATCGTGGAATATGCCAGCAGAGCCTAGCACGTAGGGGCCAAACCACCCCCCAAATGTTTGGAGGGGGGGGGGGGGGGGGGGGGGCCCCCCCGGGGAGAGGGATAGAATTCCAAACCCGGGTTCTTTTTTACCCCGGGGTAAAGAGGGGAGGAACAACCCCTGGAACCCCCAACCCACCCCCGCCCGTGGTCGCCCTCTCCCCGTAAAA